AAAAAGAACATTATTTTGTGTATTTGGTGTAATGAAATGTGTTTATGCGGTTTAAGGTTAAAAAAACACATTATTTTCCACATACTGTACATTATTGTTTCTCCTCTATGCCCCGCCTTCTGAAACGCGTCGATTTTTACAAAGCTCATCGTTCTGAAAAGCGAGGTGTGCTCTGATTGGCCAGCTATCCAGTGCGTTGTGATTGGCTGAATTCCTCAAGCGTGTGACGGAAATGTTACGCCCCATACCATACTGTGATGCCATGTCCTGGCGCGACAAAACCAATAAAACCCATTATAAACGAGGCATTTGTTGCATCCAGTGGGGACATAATTACTGATTATAATGACTTATACTGTCTTTTTACGAGTTGTGTTGCATCACGCCGCGTAAACATAAAACCATGTCTGCATTTGTGATCGGAGAAACGACAAACAGCAAGCGCTACTCTACACTGCTCAAAACTCGAAAATTCAACACTGTTGAATCGTCAGTGGCAAATCCTTTAAATATGAAAACGTACTTACAGGCTGTAAGTCAGCATTATTTGAGCAAGCGCTACTCTACACTGCTCAAAACTCGAAAATTTAACACTGTTGAATCGTCAGTGGCAAATCCTTTAAATATGAAAACGTACTTACAGGCTGTGAGTCAGCATTATTTGTCAGCATCATAGACTGTGGTCAGAATGCTTGCCGAAGGGGAAACGGGAACTGAATTCACCGGAACACCGTCATTGTAGGCTAATCTCCCAGGAAACAGTCCTCATCCTCTGTAAAATGCGTTGCACACATCTGAATATTTGGTTTGAACTGTTCTGGAACAGTGTTGTAAATACAACTTAACCACTGATTTCTAGTTGTGTCCTCTTTTGGAAGACCAAACAAAGTAGTTTCACTTTCACAACGAAACACACAGCGTCTCCACGACATGGCGGCGGCAACAACAATACTACAGCGAGAATCAAAGTTATGCCTTCTTTATTTGCGTGAACATTTGGCCGGTGTTATGCAAATCTTCCCACACAGTGATGTAGACATGTGGGGGCGTTGTTTAAATGAGGCGTTTTAGGAGGGCGTGGACGAGTCTTAACTTTTAGAAAGAATATCTCTTTGCGATTTTAGACTTTAGTCTTTGCAATTTAGGGATCTTATCTATTCACGA